TTAGGGCGGTCGCGCAGTTCAAGCTTTGTGAAAGTATAAGAAGGTTTTTGGCCTTTTTTCAAATCTTCATGATGACCAAACCACTTTATCAGCCAAGGTCTTACACCTTGGGACTCTGGCTGTCTACGTCACAAACTGCTGTCCCTAAACCCTAAACCCTAAACCCTAAACCCTAAACCCTAAGCCCTAAACCCTAAACACTTCAAGCTCTGTTGCCTGACCTCTTGAGTGCTCAACTCCTTCATGTCCTAAACCCTAAACCCTACTTTCTAAACCCTAGACCACAAACCCGAAACCCTGAACCGCATTCGCTGGTTGTCAAAAGAACGGTTTAGGGGTCTTCAGGGTTGAGAGCTCGTGGAGATGGGGGGCGGGGGGGGGTTAGGGTTGAGGGTTTAGGGTTTCGGGTTTGGGGTTGCAGGGCTTAGGGTTTGGTTCTGGGCCTGATTCATATTGTGGTCCAAGACTTTGGTGTTCTTCGCAAGCTGCGCCAGATCATCCTGCCAAGGCCCAAGCCGAAGGAAACCTCTCCGTACGTGGGTTTGCAGCAAACTCCCGAAAGTTGGAACATGGTTTCAGGACGACTAGTGCTGGGATTCCCTTTAGTAGCCCTCTTGGGGTATGAGGATAAGGATGTTCCAACTTTTGGGAGGCTACTGCCCCAAACCCTACCCCCTAAACCCTAAACCCTAAACCCTAAACCCTAAACCCTAAACCCTAAACCCTGAAGAAGCTGAAGCCGTCTGCCTAGGGCGCGGGATCTAGGGTTCAGGGCTCATAGTCCATCTTCCCAGCCCCGAGCGGAACAGGCAGTGTGCACAGCACCAGTTCAGACATCCCTACCTTAAAGAACGACAAAGCTTAGGAAGTCTACAAGGGGGTTTATAGTAATGACTACAAAAAGGTAGGTGTTGGGTTCTAAATGTGTAGATATCATTGCCTTCCCAGGGCATAGAGAATTAGGGAATGCGGGCTTGGGGTGTTTTGGGATGCCCTCTGCTAGCCCTGTAAAGGGACTATCTAGGGCCCCTAAACCCTAAACCCTAAACCATAAACCCTGAACCCTAAACCCGAATTTCGGACAAAGAACCGGTGAGTTAGGGTACCCCAACATTTTCACCCTGAGATGGATCATTCCCTTTTCAGATTCTAGGTTTTAGGGCTTAGGGTCTCAGACTTTGCCCAAGAAGGAAGATCTTTGTCAGGGGTGACTTCGCTGGGGCTTTTGGAGAACCTTGCTCAAGAATCACGCCCTAAACCCTAACCCTAGACCCCAAACCCGAAAGCTTTGGTAGATAATTCATGCGCCATGAAAGACTGCTCGTGTGGAAGGCCATCTACCCTAAGCCCTGAACCCTAAACCCCGAACCCTGAACCCTAAACCCTAAACCCTAAACCCTAAACCCTAACCCTAAACCCTAAACCCTAACCCTAAACCCTAAACCCTAAACCCTAAACCCCCCCCCCCCTCCCCGCGGCTGGGGCCGGTGCTTTGCCGGCAGGAAGCTCTGTTTGCAGCCCAACCTTACAAGGACGAAGGGGGTCGTGGATATATGCTAGACCCAAAAAGGTTTAGGGTTTAGGGTTTAGGGTTTAGGGTTTAGGGTTTAGGGTTTAGGGTTTAGGGTATGCAAAAAGGGCAGCCTTTGTGGGGCCAAGGGGATAAAAAGGAAACCTAAACCCTGAAAAGAAGGGGAACACGGCCCTACTCTGGGTCCTCGTGTCGTATGTGCATAGTAGGGTTAGGGTTTAGGGTGTAAGGGCTTAGGGTTAGATAAGGGTTTAGGGCTCCAATTGCATGTTTTGCTGTGATGACCCAGAAGCATGTCCAGCCCGTCTAGGTCGGTTTTAGGTGTCGGCGGTGAGAGAAGATTAGGCCCTAAACCCTAAACCCTAAACCCTAAACCCTAAACCCTAAACCCCAAACCCTGAACCCTAAACCCTAAGCCCTAAGCCCTAAACCAAGACACCGAGGATCAGAACCCCCGAGCCGGAGGGCTGATAGCCTAAGCCCTTCACGCGGGATCCTTCAAGCGGGATGCGACAGGAGCTCCCCTTTTCTTAGGGCATAAACTCAGAAGGGCTTTAGGGTTTAGGGTTTAGGGTTTAGGGTGTAGGGTTTAGGGTTTAGGGTTAGTGCCCAATGAGTCAAATCTATTTTTTATGACGGTGCATACGAGTCAGGACTCATGTGGGTTCCCCACGGATCTAGCCGAGCTGGAGATAGCTGGAGGCAAAGACTTTAAGGCCCCTTCGTGAAACAATTGGTCTTTGCAAGTTGTCTGAGCAGAGGAGAAGATCTGCAGCTCACAAGAGGCATACGAGTCGTTCGTATCTTTCTTGCATCGCCAAAAGGCAGCAGACATCAGTACGTTGTCCTCATGGCCACTTTTGTGCGAACCACCGAACGGCAGTTTGCAGACTTGATCACCACAGGCCCTGCAGGCTTAAGGGGGGATGCAGGATAGCCCTAAACCCTAAACCCTAAACCCGAAACCCTAAACCCTAAACTCCAAGACTCAGGGCCCTGATGGGTCATTTAGGGACTTTAGGGTGTCTAGGGCTTGGCGCCTGGACCTAGGAAGCCTGAGATCCATGTCTCCCTAGAACAGGGTTTAGGGTTTAGGGTTTAGGGTTTAGGGTTTAGGGTTTAGGGTTTAGGGCTAGAACAGTGTCTTGGGCGCTCACGCTACTTTCGGATCCCCTCTAGAATAGATACTCTCATAAGGCCCCCCCTCCCCCCGACCGTATCAGAAACCCCGAAACCCTAAACCCTATCCCTCAACCCTAAACCCTAAACCGTAAACCCTAAACCCTAAAGCCAGGAGGCAATGTAGGGTACCTCTTCACCCAGGTCCGTGCTCAGCTCGATCACCTTGAGTTCAGGGTTTAGGGTTTAGGGTTTTCAGGGTTCAGGGTTCAGAGTTCAGGGTTCAGGGTTTAGGGTGTAGGGTTTAGGATTTAGGGATTAGGGCTTTCAGGGGTTGGGGCTTCCGGGGCTTTAGGGAACAAAAGTAAGAGCTGCACCACACAGCTACACCCTTACACCCCAAGCCCCCGCGGCTCCATGCTTGGTCAACTGTTGAGGCGTTGAACTTCGAACCACTGTGAGAGAATCATAGACCCTGAGCCCTACTTTGCGCAAGGTTTCATGAAGGGTTAGGGTTTAGGGTTTAGGGTTTAGGGTTTAGGGTTTAGGGTCTAGGGTCTAGGGTCTAGGGTCTAGGGTCTAGGGTCTAGGGTCTAGGGTCTAGGGTCTAGGGTCTAGGGTCTAGGGTCTAGGGTTTAGGGTTTAGGGTTTAGGGTTTAGGGTTTAGGGTTTAGGGTTTAGGGTTCAGGGTTTAGGGTTCAGGGTTCAGGGTTTGAGGTTTAGGGTTTCGGGTTTAGGGTTTAGGGTTTAGGGTTTAGGGTTGCTTCGCGACGAGAAGTTCACACCGGCAGGCCTTCATGTAGAACATGTTGTTGAACAAAGAGCCGTCCTTCCGAACGCCAGCGTTGGCGGGGTCACCCAATGCTGATGCCTAGACCTGAACATCTAGGTTCCCAGTATCCTGGGACCCCTAAACCCGAAAACCATCCCTAAACCCTAAACCCTAAACCCTCAACCCTGAACCCTAAACCCTAAACCCTAAACCCCTTGGGTTTTCTCCAAGGGGGCGTTAAAGTAACCTAACACAGATGAGGTTTGGGGCTTAGGGGCCTTCAACCCCCAGAACAACAAACACAGGCTTCACCGAGACAAAACCCTAAACCCTAAACCCGAAGCCTAAAGCCTAAACCCTAAACCCTACACCCTAAACCCAACTCCCAAAGATTCCGAAAGATTCCGGAGAGAGAAAACATGCGTTCCGGAATTGTAGCGGAACATGGCATCTCAGCGTTCATCTTGGAGTAATCGCTCAGGCACGACAGGTGGCCAGGGCAAGTTCAGCAGAGCCGAGGCCAGGGCAGAATTTGGCAGCGCATGCTCTTCAACCCTAAACCCTAAACCCTAAACCCTAAACCCTAAACCCTAAACCCTAAACCCTAAACCGGAGCTTGGACGAAGAATGAAGTGCTTCTGAAGAATGCGCTTAGTGTTTGGCAGCTGGCTGCTTCCCCAAGCATCCACGACACGAAAGCCCAAGGCTTGCCAAACATCTCTGGGGTTTAGGGTTTAGGGTTTAGGGTTTAGGGTTTAGGGTTTAGGGTTTAGGGTTTAGGATTTAGGGTTTAGGGTTTAGGGTTACACACAGACACAGACACAGACACAGACACAGACACAGACACAGACACAGACACAGACACAGACACAGACACAGACACAGACACAGACACAGACACACACACAGACACACACACAGACACACACACACACAGACACACACAGAGACACACACAGAGACACACACAGAGACACACACACACACACAAGACACAGACAGACAGACAGAGAGACAGAGAGACAGACAGAGAGACAGGAGACAGACGAGAGAGACAGAGAGACGAGAACAGAGAGACAGAGAGACAAGAGAGAGGACAGACAGACAAGACAGACAGACACAGAGACAGACAGACAGAGACAGAGACAGACAGAGACAGACAGGACAGACAGAGACAGACAGACAGACAGACAGACAGACAGACATACAGACAGACAGACAGACAGACAGACAGACAGACAGACACAGACACACACACACACACACACACACACACACACACACACACACACACACACACACACACACACACACACACACACACACACACACACACACACACACACACACACACACACACACACACACGCGCGCGCGCCTACGCCTACGCCTACGCCTACGCCTACGCCTACGCCTACGCCTACGCCTACGCCTACGCCTACGCCTACGCCTACGCCTACGCCTACGCCTACGCCTACGCCTACGCCTACGCCTACGCCTACGCCTACACCAACACCTACCTCAAGTCACCACCCAGCTTCCCGTGTTAGGGTTTATATAGGGTTTAAGGTTTAGGGTTTAGGGGCCCTTCCCACAGTCCTTGCGTGCGTTTCGCTGGAAGCAAAACAATTCGTCTGTGGGACGTCCCGGAGGCATCCAATCTTCGCGCTCCCGATCCGGTATCCTCGAAACAAGACAACTTTGGGGGTTTAGAGATTAGGGGGAGAGAGGATACATACACTTTTTCAATAGCCCCCAAAAATAGACGTTAGTATTCCTACTGAAGAAGGAATCCCAAAAAGACTAAACTCTTGGCCCAGTACGTAAAGTACGAAAGCTAGACTACTGTAGAGGCCCAGATCACCGATTCCAACAAGCCTGTCAGGGCTGAGGCATGGAGGGGAGGTGTGTGGAGGCTCCCTAAACCCTAAACCCTAAACCCTAAACCCTAAACCCTCACAAACAATTGTCCTCCAATCCCATACGAATTTTTGGGGGTCCCAGAGAATGAATCCTGAGGCTTAATAACCTCCAGGGTTTGGAGTTTTTGGGGGCTTGGGAGGGTGCAGGGTTTAGGGTTGCGGTTTGAGGTTTATAGGGTTTCGGGTTAGGGATGAGGAAGATTCCGCCCACTCCGCGGTTTGGAAAATATGGGGGACCTCACGACCTGACGCAAAAACTAAAACTCTGCTTACCCTAAACCCTAGCCCTAAACCCTAAACCCTCAACCCTCAAACCATAAAGTATAGCCACCCAACACTTCACGGGACTCTCCCTTGGACCCCGAAGGGTTGTACACTTGGGTTCGGGGACCCGCCTAAAGATCCCTAAGGAAATATAAGGGGCCCCATTGGGCGCATATTTAGGGAGACCTTTCGGGGTACAACCTTGGGGGTACGATTCTTCATCCCTATTGACAACTGCAGCTGTCGGGTCCTGAAGAAAGAGGGGGTTCAAAGGTGGGGTAGGCAACCCAAGGTTCCCTAATACTCCCCACCTTCTCCCTGAAGCTCTCAGGCTCCCTCCAAACCCTAAACCCTAAACCCTAAACCCTCAACCCTTATGTTGGGAATTTTGGAGAGCGGCTCCAGGGTTTAAGGGCTTGGCGCCTAGGGCCTAGGCGTTCAGGCTCGGGACTTGGGACGTGCTTTGGGCTCTTGCAGCCTCAGCCTGAGACCCTAAACCCTAAACCCTAAACCCTAAACCCTAAACCCTAAACCCTAAACCCTAACCCCTAAACCCTAAACCCTAAACCCAGCTAAACCCAGCTAAACCCAGCTAGACCCTCAACAGCTGTAGAGCAGTGGAGGATTTCTATGAGCCGCGCCTGAATTGCTTTCCCGCCCGGATGGCTTCGCAGAAGTCCTGCGTCGACCCGTTTCAGACGTATTTAGGGGGTTTCGGGGCTTTTGGGTTTAGGGTTTAGGGTTTAGGGCTTAGGGTTTAGGGTTTAGGGGTTGTAGACATGTCGAGCTTTGGGGATTTGGGGCTGAGAACTTCTCTTCCTCGGATGGAGTTTGACGAACTGTAAGGCTGAGAGTTCATGGTTTGAGTGGGTCCTTGGCGTGTCTGCGCATCTTCCAATCGATCTGATCTCGTGGTACTGGATCCACAAGAAAGCGACAGTTCCTGCGACGGTGCTTGGTTTGGGGTTTGGGGCTGAGGATTTTGGGTCCGGGTCGAGGGTAGGGTCGTGCGGTTTCTACACCTCTTGCGCCCAGTGCTGAACACTGAAACCTTTACTACCCATTGCTTAAGAATCCCCAAAAATATAAAATATTTTCCTTATTAACGGTATATGGGGATTGTTATCGTTTATTCTTTTGGGGTTCTTAAGCAAATAGTAGTTTCATATCTCAAAAAGCTCTGAACCCTGTTAACCCTAAACCTGATTGAGCCCTGAACCCTGAACCCCTCCCGTGGCTGATTTGAGACCTCGGAATGCAGCAAACTACTACACCTCGCCCCCTTGCATCGGACAGTTGTAACTCAGGTGTAGGGTTTAGGGTTTAGGGGTTTAGGGGTTTAGGGTTTAGGGTTTAAGGTGTAGTGCGACATGCTAGATTCGCAACTTCCACGAAGTTGGCTGCAGGTCCATTGGCGGGGCTGGGAGGAACGCCGTTCCGGCTTTGCCTTCGTCGCTCAAAGAGGCAAAGAACTCCGTCGCCTAGACAGCCAAATAGGAGTTTGGCGAACTGGCCCCATTGCTGGGTGCTCCATCTGTGGGGGGGAGTCGGGGGCAGTTCTGTCAATTCTGGTCCTGAGCCCTAAACCCGAAACCTAAACTAAACCCTAAACCCTAAGCCCGAAACCCTGAACCCTCCTACCTGCAGGGCCCATTCTTTAGAGTGCTTCCCCCCCCCCCCCCCCCCCCCGACACCGACTCTGCGGTTCCCAGTGCTTCGAACCCACAAGCCCTGTGCCATTGGAGCTGCAGTGGCCAGAAAACCGGACCACGTGGGAAGGTCAGGTGAAAGGGAAAGTGTGATTAGGGTTTAGGGTTTAGGGTTTGGGGTTTGGGGTTTGGGGTTTGGGGTTTGGGGTTTGGGGTTTGGGGTTTGGGCTTTGGGGTTTAGGGTTTAGGGATTAGGTAGACTTCCATGACATTGGCCCGCACCGGAGCGCAAAATCAAAATACTGCCGCCTGAATCATTGGCAAACCTTCAATCTTGACGGCTGGTGGGGTGCGTGAAATGCATCCCAGTCCGGAACAATGGTGCCAGACCCGGAACTCTAAGAAACCTTCACCATGCCGCAAAACCCATATAGCCTTAACCTAGATGAAAAGATAATATAACGGAGTCTAAGGGAGGATTTTACCATACCCCTCAATTTCTTGGAAGGAGTATGCCCTAGGGGTATGTTGAATGTTTCTTAGAGGAACCCAAACCTCCGGGTTACGAAACCTTGCCTGGATCTCGGGCCTCCAAGCCAACAGACTTAGACAGACTTTTCAGAAATAGGGCTCGTGCTTGTTGGTGTCTGCGAAGTCTGGATTTACAGGTATGCCGGGTTGGAGAAGGATTAGGGTTTAGGGTTTAGGGTTGAGGGTTGGGGGTTTAGGGTTTAGGGTTTAGGGTTTAGGGCTCCTGGTTTACAGCTTCCAATGGCAGGGAAGCCAACTCCAAGCCCGCCTCCCAACAATCTCGTCCATGGTGTAGCCACACCTGGGATGTGGCAGCGCGTGCGCCGTGAACCCTAAACCCTAAACCCTAAACCCTAAACCCTAAACCCTAAACCCTAAACCCTAAACCCTAAACCCTAAACCCTAAACCCAAACCCAGCGAACGAAACGCTGAAGCGCCGAAAACTTCAGCCCTAAACCTCGTCGGCCCTTCAATCCGAAACTCCCTAAGCCATAACACCCCCAACACCCCAAGACCCTAAACCCTCAAACACTACAACCCTAACCCTAAGGCCCTGAGGACTCTTAATTCTCACTTTTGGTAAAAGTGGGGCCCAAAAGGCTTCCTCTGTAAGGTTATTGGGCTCTGTTGAGCCTAAGGGTAAGACGGTAAGACCCTGAGCCCTGAACTCCCCCACCTAAGACCCCTGAAGCCCCAAGACCCGAAGACCCTCAAACACTCAAATCCTAACCCTAAACCCTAAACCCTAAACCCTAAACCCTAAACCCTAAACCCTAAACCCTAAACCCTAAGTGCGTCGTGGGCGCAAGGTGCCGAAGCCCGATGAGCAACCAATCAAAGGGCAGCCGCTGATTCGCGGATCCTGAGCGCCGCAAACCGGAACTCCTTAAAACCCTACTTGGAGGTTCATGGTACTTATTAACCAATCACAACTGTACTTATAACTGTAATTATCACCATAGTAGGGGCACTTTAGGGGCTTATAAGTGGGGCATAAGTACTGTGATACTTGGGTAATGAGTACCATGAACCTCCAAGTAATGGGTTTCGGGTTTCGGGTCTTTCGGGTTTAGGGGTTTCGGGTCTATAGGGTTGAGGGGGTTGGGGGTTTAGGGATTTAGGGTTTACGGTTTAGGGTTTGCGTTTTGGATGGGTTTTGGGGTTTGTGGTTTAGGGGTCTGCTGTTTTTAGGGGTTTAGGGTCTTTGGGGAACCAACCTCCCCCCAGACAGCTAGGAGCTCCTGCTGTTGCATGCTCAGCAATCTTCTCTACTGGGGGTTTAGGGTTTAGTTCAGGGGTTCCAGGGTTTAGGGTTTATAGGGTCTATAGCATTAGGGTTTAGGTTTCATGGTTTAGGATTTATGGATTAGGGGTTTTTGGGGGTTTGGCATTACAGGTCTCTTACCTGGTCGAGCTTTGCATGAATAAGGCCCGGTGTCCCGAGTGTAACAGGGCCTCTAATGGGCTGGGTCTTGGTGCAAATTACGGGGGGGCGGGGTTTAGGGTTTAGGGTTGAGGGTTCAGGGTTGAGGGTTCAGGGTTTAGGGTTTAGGGTTTAGGGGGATCTTTGCAGCCAGTGCGTACAGGCTGCTGCGATGGTGAACGAGAAGACCATTCCGAGAAGTGACTCACCAGACTCAGCGAAGCGGTAGCATTTGCGACCGTGGTAGGGTTTAGGGTTTAGGGTTTAGGGTTTAGGGTTTAGGGTTTAGGGTTTAGGGTTTAGGGTTTAGGGTTTAGGTTTTAGTGTTTAGGGTTAGGGTTTAGGGGTGGGTGCAGTGTTGCATCATGACAGTGTGCGTGCGCGCATATATACATATTGGCACATGTACGCATGCACTGCACGTGTGTAGCTCGGTGTGGTAGGCACGCATGCACACATGTAATCTTACGCACACTTATTCATATCCGCGACGTCTGCGCCCAAAAGTCACCCAACTGATCTCGTCCGAATCCCAACCCCTCCACACAAGAGCTGAAGGACCAGCAGTTGCCAAGATGCTGTCTGCCGACTTGCATTGGTGTGAAAGAAATGTCCTAATATGCAGTAACAGCTCATGAGAAGTTCTGCAACAACGAGACTCCTTGGCCAAGCGGCCGGGTTGAATACCTTGTCAACGGCGGCCTGCACGCCGGGAGGGCTGCATACTCAGGCGCTGTGGGTCTACCCAGAACCCTACACCCCGTAGGGCTGTAAGTGCCCCCCCCCCCCCCCCACTTTGCAGTAGGACCTGCGCAGGTTGCAGTGCTATGGGTGATTGAGATTTGGGCTTTGGATTTGAAGCAGCTAGCAGCTAGCAGTCCCTGCATGACCGCAGAAGTGTCGAGCAAAATTCACTGAGCATGTGGCTCTTTGTGTCCCAACACCACCATAAACCTTACATCATACTCATCCTCCCCATTGTGTTGTTGGGGTGGGGGGGGTCCAGGTAGCCTGTTTCCAGGGAAAGACCCTAAACCCTAAACCCTAAAGTTCTGGGAGTCCCTTGCAAGGAGCACCCACATCTACAGAAACAAACAGTATGTATGCCTTAGCATGGGCCCGCAAAAGGGCCAATACTTCAGAGCGACCATAGCAAGGGCCCATGGAGCTGCCCTTAGAATATTCGGAGAACTTGTTCTTATGGGAGCCCTAAGCCCTAAGCCCGAAACCCTAAACCCTGAACCCTGAACCCTAAACCCTAAACCCTAAACCCTAAACCCTAAACCCCCCTGTTCCCAGCATGTCTCGCGCTTATGGGTTCGGGCTACATGATTTGAAAAGCTGCTGGCCCTCACATCGGTCATCCCCATCAATGTAGTTGCGCTGGCTTCCCCAGCAAGGTTTCGGAGTTTAGGGTTTAGGGTTTAGGGCTCATGGTTTCCCCCACTGGTGGCTATTCAGATGAGAAGTTCGGTTCCAGGGTGTTTTAAGTTGGGGCGTGCAGGCATTCTCCCACATCCCCGGGCCACCTACAAATCACGATACGCCACAACAGCCTAAACGCGCCTGACGTCACTCCACCCCGCCCCCCCCCCCCCCCCCCCCCCAATCCCAGCCCAGCCAAACCCAAAACCCGAAACCCGAAACCCCTAAACTCTCAACTCTGTCGGATGTCCTGAAGTTCGTCGGCTTTTCTTTGTGTCCAGAACTTTCCGGGCCGCTGCTTTCCATTTTCCTGGTGAATGACCTGTGGCAGGTTGGAACCGGCATCTCAAAAACGGATTCCGAACATTCCGGGGGTGGGGGTTTAGGGTTTAGGGATTGGGGTTTAGGGTTTAGGGTTTAGGGTTTAGGGTTTAGGGTTTAGGGTTTAGGGTTTAGGGTTTAGGGTTTAGGGTTTAGGGTTTAGGGTTTAGGGTTTAGGGTTTAGGGTTTAGCGTTTGGGGTTTGGGGTTTAGGGTTCTGGGTCCCCTCTACAGTGCTACAGTATTTGGGCTTTGAGAGGAGGCACCCTCTGATGGTTGCAAAACCCCATGCCGAATCTTCAGATTAAAGTCTTCTGGCTCTGCCTTGGACGTCCTGCAAGAAACACGAACACGAACGAACGAACGAACGAACGAACGAACCCACACCCACACCCACACCCACACCCACACCCACACCCACACCCACACCCACACCCACACCCACACCCACACCCACACCCACACCCACACACACACACACACACACACACACACACACACACACACACACCCACACCCACACCCCACACACACACACACAC